GGGGGGCGAGGGAGGGAGGTGTTTTGTTTTTGGGCACAAGTTGACCGCGTCTCGAGCGCCGGAGGTCGTGGTGACCGCGCCTCCCGGGCGCTGTACTGTGGGATGTGACGCCGGGGGCGGTTTTTCCTGGCTGTCCCTCCGGTCCAAGGGCTACCCGGCGGCCGGGGGCCGAGCTTTCGCCGAGGCCACCCCCGGGCGGGAGCAGCGGACGGCACGGCAGGCAGGCAGGCAGGGTGCAGGAGGGGCGCCTGCGGGGGCGCCTGCGGGGCCGAACGTCGTACCAAAACTACGGATCCCGGATTCCCCCGGCCCCGGCATGGCAGCATGGGGTGGGCCGGGCGGGGCGCCGGCGACGCGGCCCCTGCCTCGGCATCTTGGGCGTCTCGCGCGCGCCATGGCCAGGCGGAACGTGTGCAGTTGCCAGACCTGGCGCCGGAGAGGAGGCGCCCGGGATACGGGGGCAGTCCTGGGCGGGGGCACGGGGGCCGACGAGCCCGTGTGGAGCTCCCTCGGCCCCGTGCTCTGCCCTCGCCGCCCCCCGCCCCCTCCGCTCCCCCCCGAGGCCGGCCGCCACGGAGCCGGGGGGGGGGGGGGACAGGGGACGGGACTTATCAGGAGCCAGCTCGCGCGCCAAGCAACGCACCCTCCCGGTACTGCCCCCCTGCCCCCCTTCCCCCACTCGCCGGACTCACACACCCAGAGCACCGGACCGCACCCGAGCAGAGAGCACCTGCACCCCGGATCCCCCCCCATATACCAGCACCGATTGGTGCGAGCCCTGGCGGCCCACGCTTGCAGCACCACCGCCACCCGATCTTCTTAAATGGACCTGGGAGTTTCCTTTGTCCGGGGTTTCCGCCCACTGACTTTCTTTCGCCCCCTCCCCCCTCCCCCTCGTCGCCTGCCAGCTCCGATGGCCTCCATTTGAGCAAAAGGAAGAAGAAGCACAAGAGAAGAGGCAAGCCAAGCACATATCCCACTCAACCGAGGGCCCTCCTCCCCTTCGTCAGCCAGTGTCTTTCCTACCACTTGAGGCCAGTCCAAAGCACGCAGACAGCCCCGCCCGGCACGCCAGATGACGGACATCCCTTTCCACTCGCGCCTCATGCGCCTGGTGGTGCTGCTAGCGCTCGCGGCGTTGGCCGTCACCGCCACCTCGGCGGCTGCCAGCTTGCGGGCCGCCGGCTCCGGCGCCGTGGCCGCGTCCCACCCCGAGCGGCGCAGTGTCGGCGAGCAGATCCAGCGCCACCTCCGGCAGCAGGCCGCTCAGGATGAGGACGAGGGCGACCTGCTGCGCATCGACCGCCGATGGCTGCTGGCCCAGGAGGACGACTCGGAGCTCCCGGTGTCCACCATCTATCGTACCATCACCGTTTACGGCCCGGTGCCGACGACCATGTACGTGGCTCTAGCCTGCTCCACTTCGCCGCCTGCCTCCTTTCGCCGCCGCTCCGCCTGGTCCTCCTCCGCCCCCCCCC